TCACCTTTCAGTACCGCGATGAGCTGTAATAAATATTCTCCATTATGTTTGTATTGGCGTGCGTTTTAATTATTTAATATGTGCGTGTGTCCGTATCGAGTAAGTGGTGTTTGAGACATTTCGTGTCCATGTGAGACAGCTTAACGTCTTGTTGATTCTCAGTTAAATTTTTAACCTGTGTCCATTAAGCTTCCCAGCATACGTTCATCTGGTGTTTGAACATTTTTTTTTTTCTTGAACAGGGCTTCCTTTGAATCTGGCGTGCTTGATGTGTTTCACCACACATGTTTTCACGCCTTTAAGCCTTTCTGATTTTGTCGTTGTCTGCTTTCTTGATGGAAAACATCTTGGGTCTCAAGCTGACATAGCCGGCGATTGACGTGTAGCACATTCTGTCCTTTCATCTTCGTGAATTGCATGATGAATTCAGCAGGACCATCGAATTTCAGCAGCTATCAGATATGTTTTGGAAATAATATTGTGTATTCGTTTACTCCAGTTTGTAAAAACATATTTAAGATAATTATTTAGCGGGACATATCAACAATCAGAGTATTGAGGTATGTTTAACTTCCTTTGTTCTCAAATCAAATATTTATATTAATGAGAATTAATTAAATTTATTGTGAACTCAAACCCCTCTAAGTCAAAAGAATTACGAAGACGAAAAGAAACTCTCTTTTCTTCGATTGCAAGAATGCATATAAGGAGGCGACCATTCATTTTGCCTTTTAGACATGCTTTTCTACAATATTGATCGGAACAAATATCACGGGAACAGTATTAGAAACATCCCCTGACTTAGTCATAAAACCATATTTAAAAAACCCCACTAGTTTCAGATTTAATTGATAGGGTTTTAAAACAAATTGAAATTATCGTGAATGTGGAGATTTTCTTTGTTTCTCCACACACTACCTGTACAGATTCTGTGTTCCATCATTATAGAACATTTCTTGCAATAACGGTTACTGTTATGTTGTTAGGACTAGTTCCATGATATCTGAGGGATGGATCACAGAACATATTTATGTTATTACACCTCTATGTATTATTGTTTACGCATATGTTGCTGGAACGCCACACTCAGCTATATTCAGGCTGTATGGAGCCGGTCGCAGAAATAATCGAGTCTGGACAAGAAAATCCACTGACCACCAACATTGGTACGTCAATGTGATTCGTTAATTCAGTGTGTGTTACGAAGAATGCTTGGTTTCAGTAAGATACAAGACCAATATGCATTAATTAGCGTGTAGGTGATTTCGACGTCAGTTGCTTCGGAGTTTCTGTCATGTTAGTTTAATTTAAAGTCAGAGTCATTGTGATAGGGCGTCCATTGCCAAAAGGCATGATCAGAGAATGATTCTACTATTCGACACAAGACTAAAGCTTCCAGGGCATGGTGTAACCTTTGATCTGGACACATAGAGGCATTGGCGATCTAGATGCATACACGTTTATTTCTTATACAGGAAATAACAAACTTAATACTCTTTGATCATGTCATATCGTTCATAAAAAGACATGTAGTCATTTATCCTAAGTGGTACCTAAGCATTACAAGCTTCAATGGTCTGGTGATAAGACATTTGCCAGTACACACTGGTGACAGACTGGCTGACCACACGAAACACAGTAGGCTAGTGTATTTGTCTTTGCATCACCCATATATACAAATATTGTAGCCCCAAAAGCAGTTTTATAAGGCTGCGGATCTAAACTGCAACAAGCCAGTCAGACGTTACAATCACGAAAAGTACTCAGAGGTAAAAGTTACAGCGACAGTTACTGAAGTACTTGTTACATCTTTCTCCATGTCTCCCAATGGTACAGACCGAAGGCATAATGTGTTATACGAGGAAGTATACTTACTTCAGGATCGATTTGGGTGTAGGTAACGTCATTATTCACACTGATAATAATTTGGAGGGATACGATGAGTTGATTTGTAGGGTTATATATTTTAGGATACTTATGTTTATCACACACAGCTTGGTACCGTTATGAACAGTAATATGATTTCATGTTACACATATCGTCCAATAACAAAAACGTGACTTCACAACATGATATAAATTGACATTGCACATCAACGTACAATCCTGTATATACCTGTACAGTCTGGTCCCTGCCCATCCTGGTTGGCAGCCTTCATTTGAACACGCCCCTGTGCCAGGATTACAGGAGTCCCCTGTGTTGTGACAGTGACGAGTTGCACTCCATGCTACAGTTACGGCAGTCGGTCCATAACGACCAGACGCACACGCTGAAATACACGTACAGATGAGTGACGTCACTTTTCTCTTATATCACTCGTATATTCAAATGTGAACTGTTTACACTGCTCCAACTGCAGTCAGGCCATTGCATGATGACCGCGGTAGGACCATTAATTTCAGCAGCTATCGGATATTGCTTTGGAAATAATATTGTGTATTCGTTCATTACCAGTTTGTAAAGAAACATATTCAAGAGGATTATTTAACAGGACATATCAATCAGAGTATTGAGGTATGTTTAACTTCCTTGGTCTCAAATCAAATATGTATATTAATGAGAATTAATTAAATTTATGTGAACTCAAACCCTAAGACAAAAAATTACGAAGACGAAAAAGAAACTCTTTCTTTCGATTACAGAAGTACGATAAGGAGACGACCATTCATTTCGCTTTTAGCTATTTAGACATGCTTACCATATTGATGGAACAAATATCACGGGAACAGTATTACAAACATCCCTGACTCAGTCATAAAACCACATTTTACAAAAAGAACAACTGGTTTCTGGGATTTAATTCATAGGGTTTTAAAACAAATTGAAATTATCGTGTATGTGGAGAATTTATTGGGTTTTTCGCACATCTACCAACACAGATTCCTGTTTTTCCAACAACATGGGCATATCAATGTGATAAGTTAAGTCAGTGTGTTACCAGGAATACTTGATTTCAGTAAGATACAAGACCAATATGCACTAACTATAACGTTTAAAGTAATTTCGACGTTTTGTCATAAGTTGGTTAAAGTAAAAGTCAGCGTCAGCGTGATAGGGCAGTTCATTGCCAAAAGGCATGGGTCAGGAGAATGATTCTAATTATCTCGGCACGAGACTAAAGCTTTTAGTCATGGCGTAGCCTTTGGTCTGACACATATTGGCATTGTAGATCTAGAGGCATAGTGCTTGTTCGGCTGCAGGAAATGGCAAATTTACTAGTCTTTTGATCATGTCATGTGTGACACTGAAGATGGAAAAGATCCGTCTTCTTGACTACAGCGAGCAAAGCTGTCAGAAATTGGCAACTTGCCAACGAATTTCTCCATGTGCTCTGTTTTCGTGTAATTTGCTCATATGAAATCAACCACTGGTTTGTGTGGATGTTGATTATTGTCTGGCTACCGATTTCTTGCTTGCCTGTCATTTTATACTTACACCACACCTGTACTTCAACGAAGTCTAACACAGCACTTCCACCATCATTAACAGTCTCTGTGTAGGCAGTCAGGTAGCGCCAGGTAGAGAGACAGGTGACATTCAGGACATCAGAGATGTCTGTACCGTCAGGACGTCCACTAACTGAGTGACATAGATCTCCTTCTTTGGGGTCAGATGAATTTGTCCCAGAGGTGTAGAGTTGAAGGCCAGTACGTCGGTACTTATCTGAACACAAAACGTCTGTGTCATGTTATCATGTTGTATAAAAAAAATTATGCATTGGGTTTTGTGTACTGTAAATACCTCAGTGTTTATTGACTGTGTTTATTGACCAAAAACAAAATCCCTATAAATACTACATGCATACACACATATACACACGCACGAGCGAGCACACACACACTGACATATATATGTCGTGCGCAATTTACGGAATTGCCCAATCCGCGAATGACGCAAGACATTTGCGAAATCTCCAAGAATGGGCGACACTCTGCCCAAATCCTGTCATTACACAATAAGTAGTGCTAATTCCCATGGGTAGAGCAATTAATTAATGTGCATAATCCCACAGATTGAGCAAGCCGGGTTTGTGTAGTTAGAAACCTAGTTGAGCTTGTGTTGACAATGAATAGTGTTTCATAGTTTGTCTGTCAGTAGTCGACTGACAGTTGCACTGAGATGGCGGACAAAATTAAGCTTGAACGTTTAATCAACAGTGATACATTGTCTGTATTTTCAAGAAGTGAATATGAACAGGTGTTATGGTGTGACGAACTAAACACAGACAGTATGATATGCTTTTGTGTATGTTACAGATCAGGTAGTATGTGTTCGCCGTCACTGTCATCCAAGGAATCTAAAATGTTTGAATAAATAGAGGTTCTAAATAGGGTATTATAAATATTATAATCAATTTCGTATCATCGTGTTTTAATATGTCTCTCATATTGCAATAAAAACATATGAGATGATCACAATATTTTGTTCTCGTACCAAGGGATTACGTAGTGAGGCGTGTCCAATCCGCAGATTAAGCAAGCCATACCCAGTCGTGGATGAAATAACAAAAACACTGGAAACTGTAGACGGGTTTCGTTTGCGACAGTTATGTGAGATGAAACAACAACTATAACGTGAAAATATGCACGGTCAGCATTATAGAAAAAATATCACAGGGCTGTCAATTCTGTGGACGGTGCTGACACCGTTTTGATGGCAACGAGCATGGGATTAGGCGCGACAGGTGTCAGGTTTGTTATCCGCTATCGTGGCCACACCTGTGGTGTTAGGCATCGAAATAACAGCCAGAGTGGCAGTGTTGGCGGAATTGGCCCTTAGGTATGTATATCGTAAACTGCAACGTAAAGCATTGAAACACGACGGAATTAGAATTCTAGCCGAAGCGAATCTAAACACCATAGACGATCATATTTCCACCGTGCTCGCCGACTCAGAGGAAGAGTTTCGTTTTGTGATCTCAGAAAACGCCAAGTACCACAGAATGAAGCAAGAGATTCGAACTCAGACTCGTCAAAGCACTTCCATCAGCGAAGACTGAGAAAAAAAAAAGTTCATAGAACAAGGGAGGCAAGAGGCCTGGCAATACATTATTATGAAAACCAAACAAATTATAGAAGGAGATTCACAATAAACTGTTTCGCGGACATCAACATAACGTAGCCAGCCAGCCAGTCGGCTGAACAAGCCGAGCCGAGCCCCCTTCACAAGCACACGCCACCACACGCACACGCACACAGACACACAAACACTGCGACTTCGCTCACACAGCGGTATGATTTAGCTTCAAGAGGCTCTCGCCTCGCTACTTTTATAACAAGTACGGGAATACGTTGGATAGTTAGCCTTTCGCCAAACAGACCCCATGCTCGCCTCAAAAAGGCAATATTTCAGAAACTATTTTACTGGAATTTCGTGAAATTTTGCATGCACAGCTGCGAGTAATATACACAACCAGCGGTTAGGCATTGGGGACTTAACATGGCTTAATCCTGGAAAATTAAGCCTTTGGAAGGACCTGGTCCCGTTTTGCTATTGTGTATACTACTTCTAAATTAACAATTATTAAAATTGTTTGGAATAGATTCAACGTCATTTGTATATTTTCAAATTTTAATGATTACTCCCTTCGTTTCGCCATCATCCCTTCCGGTGATGATTGCGCTTATACGAAGCACAACATGGCAACATGACGCAGAGATGCTTTCGTTATTATTTGATATTCAGCTCGGAGAGATCCTCTTCAGGTGAATACTATTTTTAAGTGCAGGTTTTGATGATATATGTGTTTTATATTGCAAGCGTTTTTAAAATACTCAAAATTTGATGGAAATGACATAATGACAGTTTTCTTTAAAGCTGAGTCTATTTTACATGTAGGGGTGTTGTGTATTTGAGGTTATTTGCGGTTTTATATGTGCATTTTACTTACGTTCTTGTCTGGGATTATCATCTGAACGTTATTGCATTTTATAAAGACATGTTTTGTTCGATTAATGCGAAAATGTAGCAATTGTCGAGAAAGTTATATTCTCGATAACCTGTCAACCCTTAGTTTAGGAAGCATCTATTTTGCGACACTGGTTGTTTACATAGTCTGTCACTGTACCTAGTGCAAAGCATCATGTTCAGATAATACATGCATCCATCCATCCACACACACACACATCCATTCATCTAATTTTTGCTAATACTGATAGATATTTAATTTTATATTCATTGACAATTTTATTTCTTTGCTTGGATTTTATGTGTGTATGGTATTTAGAGAAGAGGGTTTATTATAGCCAGAGTTTGAAATCTGTATTGAAGCAGATCGTTCAATAATTTGATGTTCATTTAAGTAATGATGTGAGATGAGCTAGAAGATTACCATATTTACATTGTAACTGAGCAATGTTTCTTTTCTGTTCTTTACAGAATATTGTTTGGTGCTTTGCTTATGGCATTTAACATATCAGAAGATAAATCGAGCTTCAGATTATTACTTGTTTTTTGCGCCAAAGTTTCTGAAGATATATATTTCAAGAGCGTCGCCCTCATAGACAACTTGGTGTTGGAAACGAGAGATTCACGATGGCAACGAAAGTCGAAGTGCACGAGTCTCCTAAAGAAAATACTCATATGGAGATAGAACAACAAGGGGATCATGATGATGAACCAGAGAAAAAAGTTTAACAGAAGAGATAGGTTCTCAGAACTAAGCTTATGACAGCTATAAACAGGTTGACAGGTAGTATGAAGAAACATGAACATAATAAGAAGAAAATTAAAACCTTATTTCCCGTGACTTTGATAGAGTGATGGATATCAATTCAACATGTATGAGATCATTCCTTCGCAGAAGAGCAGACTTGATAAGTGGGATCAGAAGTCTCCAAATGACTACTACAAGGTAGTCGAGAAGGTAGAGTCAAACAGAGATCGTGGACAGTCAGAAGTAACGCAAAAAATGGAGCAAAGAAGATGTGATTGAGACCAGCTCACATTCTTCCGATGCATTAGGCTGTGATGATACTAACAAAAAATTTGGTAGTGATTGAGAGAAAAATGGTGCCAATGGTCACACAGAGAAGCAAAGTGGTGATACTGGTGACTTGCCTTCAGTAACCAACGATGTGAAAGGGAAACCTGGTAAGGATGGAAGAACTGTGCATGCCCCAGGCATTGTTGATGACTGGATTGACGACCTGGTTGAGTTTAAAGAGATTGAGTTTGAAGTTTCTTCTGAGTCTTTGTCATTGGCAGATGTCATCTTCAGATTAGAGGCTGCACGAGACATTCCATCTTTTAACCTGAGTACATTCAATGGGGATTCATTCACTTATGTAGATTTCATAGAGTCCTTCAAGATCCACATTCATGAGAAGAGAAGCCTTAAGGGCGATCAGAGGATGATTCACCTGAAGGCACATCTTGCAGGTGAAGCAAAGTGTGTTATTGATGCGTTAGGTGCCTCGGGCACTATGTATGCAACTGCATTGAAGTTACTGAAGAGACAGTTTGGCCAGAGAAGTGTGATAACACGTGCATTTATAAACAACCTGTGCAAAGGGGAAAAGCTGAACCCTAATGACAGGAAGAATCTGCGGACTTTGTTAATCGACATTGTTGGGTGTCTGGCGACCCTCAAGAGACTCAATTACATGTCAGATGTGAACAGCATCGAATCCCTCTGGGCGATCATTGGTAGGCTTCCCAACAACCTCATTGGACCATGGAGATCAATTGCGGCTGAGATTCGCGACTACGGTAGAAATCCTACTCTACAGGATATCAGTGACTACATCCAGAAGAGAGTGCGGGCTGACTGCGATCCAGACTTTGGGGATGTCATCCATGCATCAGCAGCTCCATTTGACAAGAGAGAGAAAACAAGAGACAAGAGAGATGGTGTTTATTCTGCACAGAGGGCAGTGACATGCTACTTTGCAGAGATTTTCACAGAATTAGTGTCTGAGTTCAAATGTGTTCCTGTTTCCGAGAGAGTTGACTTTGTCAGAGACAATGGACTTTGTATTGCACGTTTAGTTAAGGGCCATGGGGCCATACATTGCAGATCTAAACGGCAACGTGATGTAAAGGATCTGTTAGAACACACCATACCTTGTTGCATGTTGACACCTTAACTGCCAGTGGTGCTATGCCTGATGTAGCAAATGGTTGTCATGTCCCTAGTATCATGCCTGTAATCAGAGCTAAGTGTAGATCACCCAGTGGTCGCTTCAGAGAGGGTAACATTCTGATTGATAGTGGTGCAGGCACTACTTTGATAAGCCAGGATTTGCTATGAGTTTGGGTTTGCAGGGTTAACGTGAGAGCATTGAGATCAGTGTAGTTGGGTAACATTGGGTTAGACAAAGTGACAGTAGAAATGTGAAGTTCTTTGTCAGTGGAATTGGTGGTTCAGAGGACTATGAGTTGGAAGTTCATGAGCTTGACAGAGTGAGTGAGTGAGTTAAAATTTAACGTCACATCGGCAATATTTCAGCCATATCGTGACGAGAACAATTAATTTTATGCATAGTAACAAATTGGTAAACTGCAAAAAACCTGTCAACGAAGGACAGTAAAATAACTAGATTATCACAGATTCGAATTTAAAACTAGTAATTAAATCTAAAACAGTTTAACTATAGATGGCAATACAGCTGAAGGTAGATCACCATACTAGGGGCCATGGGGACTTACAGTACATTTGATTC